TGTGCGACAACTCGTTGGTGCCAATGGTCACTTGGAGCATTGCCGAAGACCACGCAGCTGCGTGCAGCGACGACCAAGCCAACCACGTCGACAACGCCGCGCTGCGCCTCCAAGGTCCGTCCCTCATCATGGACAGCGGAGCCTCGTCGCACATGACCGGCGACCTCTCGTTGCTCCACAACGTCATGGAATGTCGCCGCAGCGTCAACTTGGCCGACGGCCACACGTCTTGGTCAAGACCAAGGGCGAGCTCCGCATCCAGTCCAATACAACGGGCAAGACGGCAGTTTTCCAAGACACGCTGCACGTGCCAACGCTCCTGAAGTCGCTACTATCAATCTCGCAGCTCGCGCGGTCCAACCCGAGGGCTCAAGTGGTCTTTTACGACAACGCCATGGATATCGTGGTCGGTCCAGACGTCTCGATCCAAGCCGTTACCAATGAAACGTACGCCACGTTCGTCCACCGGCTCCAAGAGTGCGTCCGCAAGCTCTTTGGAGCTGGCGACATGACCCCCGAGGCCGACCGCATCGTCGAATTCCTCTACTTACTACCATCTAGTTTGATGCCAAGGTCGACTCGATCCTAGAGCACATTGCCAAGAATGACCCCGAATACTGCTCCTTGATCGGCGTGATCAAGTCCGTTGAAATTGTTGCCTATCGGATGGCCCACACGTCCAAGACCAAGGCCAGAGCGCCCAAGGTTCGTGGCACCGACCAAGTCTATCACACGGAGGCCGGTGACAAATTCTGCGAATGGAAAGGCCACGACCTCAGCGAGTGCCGCAACAAGGAGCGCGATGAAGCCAACGCCAGCCAACGCCAAAAACGCAGAGGCAACCCGTGGTGCGGCGGCAACATGCCCGGTTTCCAACGGGATTTTCACCCGCATGGTTCGCGTCCTCATGGCCGTGGTAGTCGTGGTCGTGGCAGACATGGTCGCGGCGGTCGCGGCGATCAAGTTAACTACGTACGCGCACACGTACAGTGACTACGAACAAGACGGCCACTATGCGCACACGTACGATCGCTACGAGCAAGACGATTTGTTCACGATCGAAGAAGCCACATGCATCACATACGTTGACACGGTCGAACCTTTTTGATGTGAACGATTCGGCCACAGTCGACTCGGGCGAAGATGACGGCTGGACCTACGTGGGTCGGCAATCGCGGGCCTGGGAGCTCATGGACGACGTAGAGGAAGCGTACCTTAAGGCCATAAAAGCTACACTGCCGCCGATGCCGCCGCTTGCTGCCAATTGGTAGCCGGACCGAACACCGACGCAAAACCTTGCCGACCTTGCCGCCGAACTCGAATACGTGTTCAACCAAATGGACCTCCAAGATGGTACCGAAACCGAACTTCCAGGCCTGTCCCAAGTGCCGCTCAATACTGGCCAATCCGAAACCTTCGAAAGCCAACTGACGGAGGATTTTGACCAATCAACGGCCGAAGACCGCGATTTTCCACCAATGGGTGTGTGCGACAACTCGTTGGTGCCAATGGTCACTTGGAGCATTGCCGAAGACCACGCAGCTGCGTGCAGCGACGACCAAGCCAACCACGTCGACAACGCCGCGCTGCGCCTCCAAGGTCCGTCCCTCATCATGGACAGCGGAGCCTCGTCGCACATGACCGGCGACCTCTCGTTGCTCCACAACGTCATGGAATGTCGCCGCAGCGTCAACTTGGCCGACGGCCACACGTCTTGGTCA